ACTCTGCTCATAAGACAATTCCACCAAACCAGGGATCATCCTTGTGAACCTTCCCTGAACTTCCTTCAATGGAGTGATATCTTTCCTTAAACAAGAGGACCAAGATTGCTCATAGTACTCAGATGTGGTCTGACCAGCACTTTGTACAGTTGTATTAAGACTTCTCTACCATTATACTCTAACCCCCTTGAAATAAAGGCCAACATTCCATCAGCTTTCCTAATTATCTACTGTATATGTTGTGCTAGCTTTCTGTGTTTCATGCACAAGCCACATCTCCCCCACCCCCATCCCTTTGTGTTTCAGCCTTCTGCAGTTTTCCCCATTTAAACAATACCGTTTTTTGTTCTGCTTTCCAAATGAATAACTTCACATTTTCTCAAATTCTTGCCCACTTATTTAATCTCCCTCTCAGAACTTGCCTTGCCACCTCTTTTTCTGCTGTCTGCAAATTTAATTCCAGTACATTCAGTTGCTTCCTTCAAGTCATTAGTATATATTGCAAACAGCTGTGGTCCCACGCGGATCCCTGTGGCACCCCACTAGTCACAGGTTGCCAACCTGAAAATGAACCCCTTATACCCACTTGCTGTTTCCTACCCATCAGTCAATGGTCTATCCGTGCCAATATACTACCACCAACACTATGGGCTCTTATCTTTCAACTTAACCTTTTGTGACGTACATTATCAAATGCCTTCTGGAAGTCCAAATACAACACATCAACTGGTTCCCTTCTATTCACTCTAGTTGAGACTTTTTCAAAAATTCCCATAATCTCTTTGCCTCTTCACCTACCTTCATGTCCAAGCTTTTAGTCATCTGTCCTAATAGCTTCTCATGCAACCCAATGTTAATTTTTGTTTGATGATGCTCCTTTTAAGTACCTTGGGATACTCTGGTACCGTTAAGACATTACAAAAATACTGTCGTGATTTTGGTGTAGTAAAAGATTATAGAACATATTTTCAGGGAAGAGGAGGAATATTTTTAGTGTGCTAGTTAACATTCATCTCTCAAACTACACCAGTAAAACAATGAATATCGTCAATTTCACTTCTGGATCCCGGATGTGCATAATTAAGATTTTGTATTATTGTTAATTGAATTATTTTAGACCCAGAAACTAATTCCAACCTGTCAAACTGAACTACCCTGCGTCTTACTGCAAATGGCCATACATTCCAAAGATGTTGTAATTGGTGTGGCTCTTTGCATTGGACAGGATGCTGGGAACATAGGGCTGAATCTCATATTTTTTGAGTCTGAATTGCATTGATTTTTATGTAGGGTTTCTCGTGGATAGGCCTAGTGAGCTTTCTTGCCCTATCTTACCAAATTCAACTCAGTTATTGACTACCATGGCATGTCTTACATGTGAACTTCGCCCCAACTTTTCACTCATGTTCGGACAACAACTTGTCTCTCATCGGATATCTGCCGAAACACCAACATCCCTTGCATTCATGCCATCTTTAAAAGCCTGTTGTGCACCCAGACAAGCATTTCTAATACGTAGCTGCCCAGCATTGCTCCTGACATTTGGTCTGCACATAATAGATGGGGAAGATCAGCACCTTGCTTTGTGGACAGTATCCAGGAGGTCCTGTTGGATGGGTGGTGCTGACATGGGACTTCCTCTTACCCTATGGCCTGTAGTGAAAGCCACAACATCAATCCGTACCAGTCTGGCTTGAGGTTGCTACCAGGATTAAAATAGTCTCAGCTGTCTGGAGTAATGCTGTAGGAAGATGGTCAATGTCTGCCAAGGTAAGTTCCATCACCTGCTCTCAAATACCTCACACTATGCTATTTCTGCTACTGTGCTCGTGCTCTCACTATTACCTGCAACATCATCTCTCATTCATTATGACCCATTCCAAACCCCAACATCACTAATTCTAAAAAGGCTGGGTCCACACTGCCTACTCACTTGCTCAGGACACCTCCTCACATGCACCAACAGTGAGAGCTGCGCCACCCACTTCAATCATAGAATAGAAACCCTACAGTGTGAAAGCAGGCCATTCAGCCCATCAAATCCACACAGACCCTCCAAACAGCACCCCACCCAGACCCAATCCCCTACTTTATTCCTGCAACCCTAGATTTCCCATGGCTAATCCACCTAGCCTGCTCATCCCTGGACTCTATGGGCAATACACCATGGCCAATCCACCTAACCTGCACATCTTTGGACGGTGGGAGGAAATGAGACCACCCAGGAGGAAACCCACACAGACATTGGTGAATGTGCAACCTCCACACAGACAGTTTCCCAAGGCTGGAATCAAACCTGGTGCTGTGAGGCAGCAGTGCTAACCACTGAGCCACTGTGCATAATTTATGTCTATCTGTCATTCCGTGAGGAAAACAGACCACAATAGGGCTGAAAGAGTTAAGACAGGTGGTTGTGTTGCCCATCATTTGGCTCCATGCCCTTTATGAGGACAGGATCCAGAATCTCTCAGCCTGGAGCAGGCCCTGGACTGGTATTGGAGGCTGCTCTTGACTTACCATGCTAGAGAGTGAATGCTACCACACTGTGAGTGAAGGCTATCACCCTTGGCTTGACCGACACCAACTAATGATTGAGAAGCTTTCTGGCTTTGTATCCACATAAACAACGAGGCAAGACTGTGGTAATATGAGCATGGTATCAAAATGCAAAAAGGAGAAGCAAGGCAGGAATGTTGTGAGCTCCCAGGTAGATGAGAGTGAGTGAGTGCTCTGAAAGTGAGTGGAGAGAACAGATATTCAGCCTCAGAGCTAGTAAGACAGCCTGTTCAGTCTCTGAGCTGGGTGTTTGTCTCTGAGCACACAGTGTCCTTGCTGTAATGACAGTTACCGGTGCACTCTGCAATAAAATACTGAAGTGCAGAAGTGACTTGGAGATGTGTCATTACAGTTCTTACAGGCTGACATCTTGGATGCCAATGTCCTTGGACATCAGCTGTGTGCAGCTGATGCCCATGGAGTATGCCCTGAGATGTTGTTGCTGCCAAGACATTTTGTGTGAAAAGACACGCACCCACCTCATGGCTTGGATCAGGGTTGATCTCATGGCTTCTTGTTTGCTCTCTGAGTGTTTACTCACTTTGCACCTATTTGGATTCTCACAGCACTTGTCTTTCCTTTTCTTGCCTTTCTGCAATTTGGCATCTCTTTCAGAATTAAACGCTCACAATACTTCTGTGTTTCCTTGCTGTTTAGTGCAGACACAAAGCCAGGCAGCTTGTCTAACTTAAAAAAAAACTTGTCCAACTTGTCAGCAGTCATTAATAAATGAGGTGAACAAGCTGCTGTACATTACAGTGCTCTATCAATGTCACAGTCACACCACATGCCAGCAACTGACACAGCAAAGACACTGCATGTGCTTGACCCAAATGGTCATGTCTCAAAGTCCATGGGGATAGTCCCCTGTCAGATCAAAGGGAGACAGTCTTCAAGGGGTCCTGGCACAACAAGTCAATGGCATTGTCTAATATCAGTCCAGGATTTCAGACATGTTCAATTGGCTGCTCAGGTCGTTCAGAGTCAGGAGCCATATCATTACAATACAAGGAGTGGACCTCAGGCAGTCCTGCAGATGCAAACAGTCTAGGGATTCCCGACAAATCAGTTGGGACAGCACAGCTATTGGTCATGTGTCTAGTCACCTATCAACCAGGATGGTCAGGAGAATGGATCTCAGTCAGGCCTGGGGGTTAGCTCAATAAAGATCCAAGGGGTGGTATGAGGGCCACTGCTAAGTAGAGAAATGGGGGGATTTCATTTCTGGGGCTTGGACCATGCTGTGATGCAGAAAGGACAACACTTATGGAGTGGGAACCTTAACCTACAAAAGGAAGAGATGCAGGACATGAGTTACTGTGGAGGGAATGGGTCATTGACAGTCATAACTGCCCTGGCCACAATGGAAGGTCAGTGCAGCACAATGGATGGTATGACTAAGCTGTACGGCTGGAGCTCAGCGATGAGGGGGAGCGGTGTTAAGAGATGAAGTCATCATTTAAAGAGGTTTACGGGAATCTATGGAGGATCAGTACCACTAGACTCAAAGGGAAGAAAGAAACACGGAGATTCAGGAAGGCTGATTACCAGACTGAGCCTGGGACTCCCTGTACCTAGCACAACCTACATTGCCTTTCTTACTCATGAAAATCACAAATACACATGGAGCAGAAAATGGCTGCAGCCCGAGTGGACAAAGCAAGCTTTTTTTCTGTCTGAGCGTGTGGGCTCAATGTATGAACGATACGTAACCCTGAAGGGGCAATTGCATTGATCAGGCACATTCACAGTGCAGAAGTCATCGGTAATTATAGTGCACTGCACATCAACTTCATACAGTATCCAACTGTATGGGATAAAAATCTTGGATACCAGTAATCTTGGCTACGTAATTGGCCATTGCAGGTTAAAGATAGTTACCTCTGTGAAGAAGTAATCACAGATGGCTTTTAAAGTGGCACCCGCAGGCTCCAATTCACAAAGACAATCTAAGATCTGATGAAGGTCTTGATGAAGAGTCATCTTGACTCAAAGTTAGCTTGTTCTCTCTCCACGGATGCTGTCTGAACTGCTGTGATTTCCAGGTTTTTTCTTATTTTCAGTACAGATTCCAGCACTACATTAATTTGCTCCTCCAAGATCACAAAGGCATGGAGCAGTATTTGCCAACATTCTCTTAAATGCAATATGCAATGCTGCCTTTCTTGAGTGATGTGGGGGATGGTGGGAGGACATGGTATCAGTAATCATGCAGCTTTACAATCTCCTCCTGTATTTGCGTGACATGTTTCTGTGCATTTACTGAATTAAGATCTCTATGTTAAAGGTCCACATTGAGGCATTCCATGGTCCACCTTGTCAGTGTTTTCCATTTCCCACTGTATGATGGATTTTGATAAACCGTCATTTGAGATTCATATGAATGCTGACAGCTCACATTACTAACAACCTACTCACGGTTTCTGATTTTTCCCATGCAGGTTCAGTGGAACTGTGTCCAATGGATCAGTCATCATCACTGTGGCTGTGGTGCTGAGAAATTGTGGAGGAACAGATGTATCAACAAGCGCAGGGCTAGCAGCAAGATCCTGCAGCTACTGAACTGCCTCCACATTGAGAAGTTGCAGTTGAAAGCCCCCTCAGGAGGTATTAGAGTCTATTGTTCTCATTGCCATTTCCTCCAGATGAGCAAGGCACTTTACCGCTGCAGGCTGAGAATATCCTGGGCCACTGTCACAGAACTGTGGCAACTGCTGGAGTGGACCCCCTACAACTTGAAGGAGTAGGTGGCCATCCTATCCCGTGGCTGTCAAGGTAACAGTTGGACCAAACTTTTCTGCAACTGACTGCTCCAAGCATGCACTGGGGACTTGTGTGCGATCTCTCAATCCTCAACCCGGAAATGTATCAAGGTTGTTATTGATGCAATTGTGGCTAATGGCACTGTTTCATCTCACCTCCCCGTGAAAAAGTCAGCCCATGTGGGACCTTTGAACATAGTTGGTTTGCCTAGGTATACGGTGCTATAGATGGTAGATACATTACATTGAGAGCAGCATGTCATAGCACAGCTGACTTCTTCAACCAAAAATATTCCATGCCATCAATGTACAAGTTATCTGTGATCAATAGTACCATAGATTAGAAGTCTGTATCCAGTAGCTTTGAAGCTGCAATGATCCTTGGGAACCTTTAAGTTCCTGCTTCACTCCAAGGGCCAGATGCCTGACAGGGATGGTTACTGGGAGATGAGAGTTACTCTCTCCAGCCATGACTCATAGCTCTGATACATGCTGACTGAGGGTCAGTATAGATACAATGCAGCCCATTCTTCTACAAGGACCATCATGGAACAGACAATAAGGATCCTGAAGATGAAGTTCTGATGCTTTGGTTGGTCTGAGTGGGTCTTTGCAGTACTGTCCAGAGAATGTGCCACATAATTCAAGTCAACTGTGTTACACACAACTGAAGTAGGCAACAAAGAGATTTGACGGGCTGAATTGGGATAGGAAGAGCAGTCTTCTGAGCAGCAAGATAATCACATTGAGGACAAGGAACATTACTATCATCTCCATTTGCTCTAAAGCAAAATACTATATTTGCTGCAATTCAACTGTGCCAAATTGGATCAGTTATGATATTACTGGAGGGCAAGGCAGGTTTGAAGGTCCAAGTGGGCTGCACCTACTCCTAATTTGCATGTGTGTATGGATGTCAAACCACACTATAACCATAACTATTTGTACAATTGGCCAAATACTTTTAAGATCAGTGCTTTGCAATAGAATCTTTTAACAAAGTATTGTAAAGAGTTTCAGACCAAATCACCATGGTCTTGAGAAGGGCCTCACAGGAATAATACTGTACGATAAAGCCAACTTAATAGGATTGATATTTTTTAAAAGTCTAGTGAATCCAAGAACAAACTATATGTTTATCACATTGTTTAATCCATCATAGCTTAATTAAATAGTTTAAAAAATGCTGATTTTGAATTAAAGCAAGCTTTCTTCTTCAACTTCCTCCTCTTGTTGAAAATCATTAGTTTATGAAATACAAATGCATATCTCTGCAATAACTTTTACCATCAATATTTAGCAAAGGACTATCTACAAAACACTTGTATTGTTCTTTTAAAAGTACACACACAAGCTCAAATTATTAACAAGTGTTAACGGTTTAATAAAATTTCAAAAAAACAGATTGTTCTGTGAACAGTTAAAACTGGTTTATATTGACATAATTTAACTTGGGTGAAGAAATCCTATCCTGCCAATGTATACTGCACATCGTCTCAATATTAACAATCAATTTTTACCTGCATAGCATACAACAATTGGACTCTGAAACAGTTACTAGAATTTGAAAGGAGGTTAAATAGGAGTTCTTCACCAAACAATGGTACATACAGGAATTGACCTGGTCTGGTTCCATAGTAAAAATGCAAATTTATTATCAATCAGCTGTCACACTTGATGTAAAATATATTAAATCAAGCTCTACTGTAATTTTCAAGACATACAAAAGACTGGCATTTTCACTGGTTTGAGTTACCATGATGTACTGTACTCAATTCTTTCTCATTTTAAACTGAGTAACAAAATAACCTACAAAAGAATTACTGAATCATTTGAAATTTACTTGTTATGAAAACCGGCCGCTGCTTTTTTCAATCTGGTTCATGCGGGAAATGCTAAGCAGTACCACAGGATTAACTAAGTGTTCAGTTTCTGTTGCACAATCAGCTTCTGGCAGTAATTTGCACCTTCTGCTGATAAAGTCTATAACAACATCCAGAAGCAAATACAATCATGCCTTAGCTGCTAAAATCAGTATAGCTGTTCAACAGTCTCAGAGATATCCACTTACTGAATTGTGGTTTCTGATCATAGCTCATTATGAAGATCATGCTGCATCTTGTTTTGCTTATCTGGTGGTGTAGGAGTCCCTTGCACTTTTTGAGATGCTGCAGCTAGTTCACTTTGAGCTTCTTCCTCACCACTCTCATTCAAATGTTCAGTCCCACTTTCCTCCTCCTCATAGGGTTTTTCTTGGTTTGCAGAAGTGGGTGTCCTCTGCTTTGCAAATCCAGGATGTACAATATCCATAATGGCCAGAAAATCATAAGTAGCTTGTGGGGGTGTCCACTCTTTTCTTTGCAGATTATCTATGAAAGTATGATCATTAAAACTTGCAAACATCTGATATTTAAAAACATGCAAGTTGGACTGTCAATAATTATATGTTTAAAGCTTCAATACAATACTTTGATGGGAAAAGCAAATGGCTGGCTCTTCGGGCTTCTGCATGTAGACATGGGCTTGGATAAGGAAGTGACTGCATTTCCACTAATTGTACATCACCATTCACTACTGGATGTGGCAAGGCTAGTACTTAGATTTGATCCATTGGTTGTGTGTCCCATCTGCCGTTTGGCATACAGGGAGTCTTTTGATGTAGCTTCACCAGATTGACGCCTTATTTTTAGGCATGCCTGGTGCTGCTCCTGACAAACAATCCTGCACTCTTCATTGAGCCAGACTTGATCTCCCAGCTTGATGCTAATGGTAGGGTGGAGGTAACGCTGGGCTATGAGGTTAGATTATGATTGAATACACAATCTGCTGCTGATAGCCTACAGTCCTTCACGGATGCTCAGTTTTGATTTGGTAGATCTGTTTGACTAGTCTCTGCGACAGCTATCCCAATTTTGGTACAAGCCCCCAGGTGTCAATAAGGATGGTTTTGCAGGGAACTGGATTTGCCACTGCCGTTTCTGGCGCCTACATTAACTCCTTCATTTAGATTTTGTAGCAGTTTGATACAAGCCATTTCAGAGGGCAGTTAGAAGTCAACCATACTTATGTAGACCTGGAATTACATTAGGCAAGGATGGCAGATTTCCTTCTCTGAAGGACATCAGTGAACCAGATGGACTTTTACAATAATTGACACTGGTTACAAAGCCACTATTAGATTAGCTTTTAATTCTAGATTGTGCTGTATCCGAATTTCACCATCTGCCATGGAGAGATTCACACTTAAGTCCCAATAGCTTGGGCTTCTGAAATACTAGCACAGTGACATCATCACTGTGCCACCACATCCCCCCTCAAACTTGTATCATTTCAGATTGAGTCTCTGATTCTACATGCATAATCATGAAAATTCGAAACGTTCTTCCATTAATTCATCATTCCTAATGTTATACATTGAATACAAAAATGGATTATTCCATTGGGTCTCAGGTAATGAAGTTATATTCTCCACTTAAATTCACATTAAGTCAAGAATTATATGTAAAACGTTTCATTGGACAAGGTCGAATTTGGAAACAGATCTTAGAAGTAATGGAAACATTTTTCTAATCATTCAAACAGCTTTATTCCAAAATCACAAGGCTTTTGGTAAAACCAAGCTGTTGTTTCTGCAACATTATTTTTGCTATTTGGAGTATCAAATTCAGAGTCACCTTTTTAATTTATTTGCTCACAGGATATGAGCAACTCTGTTAAGACCACAGATAGGACCTATTACAGGAGAATCTTACAAAGCAGAGATTGAGAGATATCTTGTCGCTACCCATAACCTCTCCATCATTATCTTTTTATTTTCATTCTGGTAACATTGACAATATTTATCAACTTCTCAGCCCACTTGTGGTTGAAGTCATTGTCCATGCACTGGTAATTTCAACTGTGAATTATTCAAATTCCTTTTTGGTCGATCTCCAACTACCCATCCTCCCTAAACTGGAGATTCATCTGGCAGAAGTAATTGAGCCTGTCTGTTGAGCTTATAAATGAAATTCCATGTGTTTGAAATACGTGTTTGAAATACCATACGCGTTTGAAATACCATACGCTTGAAATACCGGAACGTAAAAGTGAATGAGTAACTAATATGATTAATACATTACCAAAAACCTCAGGAGTGCATGGTGAATTCCGTTAGAGGGTTACATTGAGGTCAAGTCAAAACTATTTTGCAATGTCACAAACTGTGCAGTGTAACTAGTCTATTAGTTGCTAGGTGTTTTTCATGATTCATGAACATTAATAGTTTTAGTAATGTGAAAGAATGCCTGTAAAGCAGTGTCCATGTGAAATTCTAGTTCTTCTACTTACTCAGGCCCGATATACCTAAATGTCCTTCCTATACTATTCAAGAGTCTGGGGCAAAACTGCTAACTAGTGACTTGCAAAACTGAGGGTTGAATTTTACCAAAAATTTAAGCTAAGTGTTAATTTTGGCGACTTTCCTTGGTGAGTTTTCTCACCCCATCTTGCAAACTTTGCACCACAACCCCATGTCAACCCACTCGTTGTACTCGCCCACTCCCCCACACAAAGAAGAGCTGGCCACTGTTGGGACATCCTGGGATTCTGGCATTGTCTTTAAAACCCAGACATGCACCCAGTTAGGTGCTGGCAATCTACAGCTGCCTTGCACGGTTCCTATCAACTGCCCAATACATATCAGACAGAGGGAAATTGGCACTGCGCATCGCTAATAGGGATCTGGAGAAGAGCACATGGTATGTTGCTATCCACGATAAGAGGGCTGGAGTAGCAAGCAGCGAACTAGAGTCACCACATTACCTGTCCGACCTTCATGTCAGAAATTGTCTCCATCTCATTTGTATCCAGCTAGCGGGTGAATGGGAAACTGCATATCAATGAGGCGACAGGATGTAATAATAAGGATACTAATGCTTGAGAATAGGCCTCTTGCCACTTACTAACAAGAATGCCATCTCCCATTCAACATTTTGTTGGAAAATAGGACTTTTTGCTCTCTAGGTCTGGAATCTCCTTAATAAAGATTTCACATGATTTTCCCAACTTTCTTTCCCAGCTTGTTCAGTGGCAGGAAAGATTCCATCCTGAGTCAAAATTCTTCTGCTTACCTCATGCTGTAAAAAACATTTTTTTGAGCTTGACTTTACTTTTACTGTAAACTTGGCAGCTTTGTTCAGTTGAATGCACTCTCACTTGTGAGTCAGAGGCTGTGATTTTGAAACCTGCGAGGCTTGAGTGCATAATCTAAGGTGATATTTTATGTAGTGCTGAGGGAATATGGTATCACCAGGGATGCAGTTCCTCAGCTGAGACATTAAACCAATTAGTCCATCTTAGTTAAATACAACTGACCCCATAACATTATTCTGGAAAGAGTAGAATGTCCTCCTAGGCCCAGGGAAAAATTGCTCACTCAATCAACAACGCAAAAGCAGATGATCTAGTCATTCATACGTTGGTACATTTATATTTATTGCTTATAAAGCACTTTGGGAGGTGATGTAAATCAGAGTTCCTTTTTCTTAGGCTGTTGTTCAGCTTTCAGTATTTGGGATGTGATGTAAACCTGAGTTGCTTCCTCTTGGGCTTTTGACCAGCTTTCAATATCTTGTTACCATTGAATATCACAAGGCATATGGCGAATGTCAACATTGATGTATTTGAACTTTTCACTGTTACAAAAGCACTAAGACCTTGAAATAAAGTTAAACATCACCAGTGCAACATGTGTCAAAGAAACAACATTAAAGTAAGTTTGACACATGATGGACATTGCCTGTAAATACATATAATAACTACAGTGAAAATCAGCAACAAATTCAAAAAACATGGTAAAAATACAAGTGGTCACCAAACAGATTTTCCAGCAAAACAAGTAAACAAATCAATAACCCCAAAATGTAACTAAGCCATCTTCTTGCTATCCTCAATCCTGATTTAGAAATATGCCATTTGCTCAGTCCCACATGGTCAATATCCTAGAGCTCCTGAACTACCACCACGATGGGAACAATATTACAGCTATGTCATTAAGTCCTGATTACAAACTAAAGACAAAAGTTTGGTCCTGAAAATATGCAGAGCAGTATCATGGTGTAAGTGCTAGATACACCTACCAGGAACCTCTGATCCTCACCCTGCCAGAGTGTGGGGGTAGAGAGGAACCAGTGTGTCCTGGGAACCAACTAGCAGATGCCAAGAATTCTAGTGTAGGCAGTTATTGACATCTGGTGGAGGAATCTACAGGGTATTTCTAAAATTCTAGTGTAAATTTAAGCTTTGATAACTTTGGATGTTACATGGTAAAAACAAATTATAAATGCTATGAGGAAGAAGAATTCACCTTGTTTTAACACAATACTGTTGAAATTTCTAGGCTTCAACATTATTGCTGTCTCTCATGTTATATCGTCTGACCTGATTTCCTAAACTTCCATCTTTTCTTTTGTTTCTATTTCAATTAATTTCAGCACTGTTAATACAATTCAAGCAACATGAACACAAGATAATCATGATTTGTGATTCATCACTCATTTAAAATGACACTTCCAAAGTTATATTCCTGTGACCCTGCTCCATGCTCATCCCTCTACTTTTTAAAAGGGCAAGAAGAAATTCAAAAATAATTAATACTTTTATAGGCCCAGGGAGGACTGGTCAATAACGTGGGCCCCAATTACAAGGTGGATGGTATATCTGACTTTTTTTCAATTACACAGAGGATTCCCAGATCATGAATGAAGAAGTGTCTGGCTTTGGAACTGCCCTCCAGCTATTAACTGTCTCAAGCAAGTGACGTTATTTCAAGGAGTCTGTGTTTCTTCAAAACTTGCAAGAATTTGTAATATCCCACAATATCCATGTTCTGGTCTCTTGCTCTTTCATCACATTCTCACCAGACGTACAGCTGGATTGAACTGGAAGGCATCCATCTGGTATCCATTATGCTTGGTATTGTAAAGATAGACTGCAGACACAACGGTTTACATTTAACTGTTGGGAAACATTGATTTTACTTACTTTTCGGGACCTCCTGTCCTGTTTGTATCTTCTCTAACCAATATAGCACACCGACTGCTGATATAAGCTCTCCTTCTGGAAATACAAACACATGGCCACTCGAGCTGAGTTGCACTAAGACCAGTGCTGGCAGCTGTGGGAGGTAGTTCAAATATACTTGAAGAATCTCTTTTCCAACATGTGTCTTTCGTCTTAGTGGTTTAAAAACATAGATACAAGTTATTAACAATAAAATAACTAAACCACAGAACTACAAAATAATTAGTTATACTATTGAAATGGAATTACATGAGTCGCACATTTAAGTAAAACCACTGCCCGTCATTCACCAAATGGACAAAAAGGTTTTTAAAGTTATGTTTCAGGAATAGAAAGGAAATCTGTTGTCAGAAGAACTACTGCCGAATAAAATTTCTGGGCAAGTCAAAACAATTAACAAATAAAGTCTATTAAAAGGTTACTTCAAAATTCAGCATTTAACTTTCAACCAAATAAAGCCAGAAAGAAAATTTACAATTTTCAACATGATAATCAATGATGCAACATACAATACAAATAGGAGAAAATTAGATCCATTGCTGGACATTTCAGGATAAGTTTAGTTCATTTTTAGGCCTACACCTAAGAAACAGACTACACTAAAAGTTTTGGGATTTTTAGCTGGATTAGAAAAAAATTGTTCAAGCGCTCTTGTTCTTATCTAATTATTAACATTTTAACTGGATCGATTATACTTGACAATACAAGGCTTCCCAGGCAGCAGTCAGACATGTTTTAACATTACTAAAGATGATCTTATCGTGGTAAATGGAGGACTTCAGTTTATATTGTAGGAACAGAACCCCAAATCCCGCTGTCCAGAAACTGGAATTCTCTGAAAACTGGAGGTTTGTTTCTCTCATGCTACGGAACATTGAGAATGGAGAAAAAAATAAATTGTACTCTTTTAAATACGATATGTGGTCATATGGTTGCTTACATAAATTCTATCCTTAAAATCAGTGTAATGACTGAGCAGTATTTTCAGTGCCCTCACTCTGAATCAGCATTTAAACTACATGGGGGCAATGGGCAAGTTCACCCCTGAAGGCTATCAAAATACGTGGCAAAATTCAATCACAGAGGGAACTAACCAGAGAATAACCATCGCCATAAACAGAACAGATAGCACCGGTGAGGGGTTGCTCCTCCAATGAAATGTACATCTCTCCCATACTTGCCCGAGAAAGATTCATCACTGAGCCTATCACCAGCTATCACAAGATAGAACCATTCTGTGACTGGAGGAGCAGCGAGCAGTTAGGTAAGTAAGTGGCGGCAGTCATCAGTTGGGTCAGAGAAGTCTTTTGCTAGGTATTGAGGTCCATGCCTTTGGCCAGGGACCAGGATTTGTGCCCTCAGTTGGGGGTCATGGGTCAAGTCTTTGCTCACGATTCTGGGACCATGACCTTGGTCAAGGGTCTTGTGTTTTTTTCTGTGTCTGGGGCCAGATGCCATGCCTTTGGCCAGGGGTCATGTGCTTTGCCAGAGACCACAGTCTGTGAGCTTTGCCAGGAATTGGAGGCCATGTCTTTGGTAGGGGGCTGTGCCTTATGCCAATGGCCGTGGCACAAGGTTTCTGCTTAGGGCTAGGTATTTGGTTTGGGGCCATCTACTTTGACAGGTCAGACACAGTTACAATGAGACGGTTCCTAGGATTCTGAAGGAAGTGAGAGTAGAAATTGTGGGCAATCAGGCCACAATCTTTCAGCTATCCCTGGACTTGGGGAAGCTGCTAGAAGACTGGAGGATTGCAAACACTACAGCCTTGTTCAAGAAAGGTTGTAAGAAAAATCTCAGCAATTACACACCAGTTTAATTTCAGTGGTGTGGAGGAGAATATTTAGTGGTTAACAAGTGGTCACTACTAGAGCTGTTGCCATCGAGAATGAACCAGTTAATGATAACTGCCAGATAACTCACACGCTTTAGTTTAAATGTTAAACCAAGCAGGTTGACTCTGATTGGTCAAGGCATTGCCTTGAGAAATGAACCAAAGAATAGCTATCATCCATTTGGTTGAGTTGAAATGGATACAGGGTCCTTTGTGTGAATATATGTGGCATGCAGTATGTCACACCTGCAGTGACATTCATATAACCACATTAGTCATTTGTGCCGAATGTAGAGCTTTTTTGGCTGGGCAGCAGCATCCTATTAGTGGTGAAAACTACTCATGATGCTACTCATGGGTCAGAGATGTCTTTTGCTAGGCATTGAGGTCCGTGCCTTTGGCCAGAGACCAGGGTTTGTGCCCTCAGTTGGGGGTCATGGGTCAAGTCTTTGCTCACGATTCTGGGACCATGACTTTGGTCAAGGGTCTTGTGTTTTTTTCTGTGTCTGGGGCCAGATGCCATGCCTTTGGCCAGGGGTCATGTGCTTTGCCAGAGGCCAGGGTTTGTACCTTTTTGCCAGGGACCACAGTCTGTGAGCTTTGCCAGGAATTGGAGGCCATGTCTTTGGTAGGGGGCTGTGCCTTATGCCGATGGCCGTGGCACAAGGTTTAGTAGCAAGAAACAGCTAGTATCCTCTCAATCAAAGACAATGAATCAATCATAGAATCCCTACAGTGCGGAAAGAGGTCATTTGCCCCATCGAGTTGCACTGATCCTCTGAAGAGCATCCCACTCAGACCCACCACCCACATTTCCCATAATCCATCTAGCCTGCACATCCCTGGACACCATGGGCAATTTAACATGGCCAATCCACCAAACCTGCACATCTTTGAACTGTGGGAGGAAACCAGAGCACCGGGTGGAAACCTATGCAAATACAGGGAATACGTGCAAACTCCAGTCACCCAAGGCTGGAATCGAGCCGGGTCCCTGGCGCTGTGAGGCAGCAGTGCTAACCATTGCATTACCGTGCTGCTATTTCAATAACTAGCTGCGACAATGAAGCTACGTTTAATTTGCCCTGCCCGCTTGAGGCTTCCTTTCAAATTTTTGTCGTCCCTACGGATATTTTTTGCAGACCATCATAAAAAATCTTAGCAGTTTATCAAAATCTGATGAATTACTGCCAAGGAAGTTGTGACTTACAGATCAATCCAGCACATGGTATAAGTCTGCACATCTCTTAACTTGGTAAGTTGTTCAAGCTCCTCTCTAGCTTTCATAGTCTTGGTGTCACCATTATCAATGAAAAGCATGAGTAACGGTTTCAGAGGATGAAAATAAGATGGGAAATTTTCCACTGTGGCTTCAGGCTAATGTTAAAAATAGGAATAAAAGAGAATATGTTAGTTTATTCAGTTACTAAGAAATGGTCGAGATAGTTACAGACAATTCAGATCTATAATTATAGGTAATCTTTATTGGTTCTGATCAGATCATCTTCATAATCTGCAATAAAATGATGTCACCGGAGAGTATGTCTGTCCCTATTCAGCTATAGCAATCCAAGAAGCAACAGAGAAACACTTATGAAGAGGTATGTCACTTAAACTGATACCATTTTGATAAAGTCCCACACAGGAAGCTGGCTAGAAATGTTAAAGCACGGGGATAGTAGGTAACGTACTGGTATAGTTTGAGAAAGAAAACAGACAGTAGGAATTCCAACATTGCCAGATTAATTAACAGGGTACTGCAAGGATCAGTGCTTGGGGCCCAGTATTTCAGAATATCGATAGCAATGATTTGGAGGAGTGGACCAAATGTAATGCTTCCAAATTTGCAAACGATACAAAGTTAGGCAGAATTGTCTGCTGTGCTGAAGACGCATGTAAGGAAGATGTAAAGCAGCTTCAGGCTTAGTGAAGGGCAAGAACATGGCTGATTAATATAATGTGGAAAAATGTGAGGTTATCCACTTTGGTAGAAGAAAGATGTGCAGAGTGAATGTTAAGGGGTTGGAAAGTGTAGATGTGCAAAGGGATTTCTAGGTGTCCTTGTCGATAAGTCACAGAAAACTAACACGCAGGGTGCAGTGAGCTATGAGGAAGGCTAGTGGAATGTTCGCCTTTACTGCAACAGGCTTTGGACTACAAGAGTAGTGAAGTCTGGTTTCAATTGCTTAGAAGCTTGGTTAGGCTGCACCTGTGTGCAGTCGTAGTTTCAGGAAAGACATTACTGCCATGCAGGAATGTCATGAAGGTTCATCAGATTTGTTCCTGGGATGATGGGACTGTTCTATGAAGAGAGATTGGGCAAACTGGGCCTGTATTTTTTAGTTTCAAAGAATGCGTGATGATCTCATTGAAACCGTCAAAATAGACAGGGTGGATGCAGATAAGACCCACAACCAGGGAGGTCTAGAACAGTTTAAACAAAAGGGGGTTGCCACTTATGTCCACAATGAGGATTTTTTTTAGTTTGGAATTCTCCATCACAGCGGGTTGTGGAAGCTCAGTCTTTGAGCATGTTTCAGGTAGAAATTGATGATTTTCAGATTACCAACGGCATAAAAGGTTATGGGGAAGGGATGGAATTAACGTGTTTGATCAGCTATCTGTATTGAATAGTACAGCAGGCTTGATAGAGCGAATGGCCTAGTTCTGTTCTTAAGTTTCTATGTTCACAAGGTCGTATGTTCACAGCCACCAGTTCAGATACTGGGAATCCATGTCCCTTAGAGGCTGGTATAAAGTTGGGATCAGCACATGGTGAGTCGTTGGGTGCGAGTAGATTGCAGTTAGATCAGGGAGAAAAAAGAGTGTGTGCCAGCTCATTGGGGGGTAATTTCACAGATGAGTTCTGTTACAGGAGAAGGACTTCAGCAGACTTACATAGAGGGCTGTGCATTCTTCGATGTTGGGTGCAATGGTTGGCTGCCAAGCAGTCACTGTTAAGAGACATGCAGAAATCTAGCTTCAAACTGATAGGGGGAATCACGCAAAGCTTGCCCTCCCTGCAGCTACTGCTCTACCTCGGTCTCCTGTTGCTGACCTAGAGTGGACGCAACTACTGGCCCAGTACAACAACATTCCCTGTCAAATCCAGGAACTCACGATAGCTCCTCCAATACACACCACAATAGTTCAAGATACAATGCAACTTGGGTGCCTGGTCCTTTAAATAACTGGTTCTGGATCTCTCTCGTACACATTTACTGAATAACAAGCTTGCAGTTTAGGTGGACCTGTGTGATCCAGTTCTAATCATTTGGCAGAGTTAATAATGTTATAATAGCACGAGTTCAGAGTCTGCCGGTGTATGCAAGGAATCTCTGGATTACTGCGCACCTTAGTATGGGCCTCTCTTTCAGCTATGTCAGAAGCAACTGGAGATGCAAACACTCCACTAGCAATGATCTGAATTATACAGGACTCAGTTATCTTAAGACTCTCAATTAAAGTCACCTGAATAAAATTAGCAGACACTGAGCAATGTTATGTGATTTTGCATTTGATAAACGTTGAGAGAGTGAATGCCATTCTATAAAATATCACATGATGACAACTCATGTAATATCTCAATGGAGTTAGAAACCCAAAGTCAAAAAAAATTACATCTTTTCCTTACACTACAACATTTTGCCTTAAAGGTGAGAACTACCAATAAAAAATGACACTTCAATTTAATATTATAACTAATTATGTCAAGAATTAATTCTTCAGTCACATCACAATATTTAAAGAGAATATGTATTTTTTGCAAAAGTATTTAAAACATTAATAATGAGAATTTCAAAAGTTATGCTAATCTGTTTAAATGCAAGTATCTAGCATTAAAACACTTACAAATGTTTCCAACATGACACTCTTGACTGCAGATACAATGCCCTCTCTGCTAGGATTTTCAAGATGAATGGCTTCTATGTGAGATTTTTCATCCCTAACAAACATCAGAGCTGGTAGAGCCACACCAAACTTTTGCGAGCTGAATGACAACGCAATGATAGAAGTGACAGATTAAAACAAAGTATCATTTAAATGCATGTAACTGATGGAAAGAAGTAACTTCTCATAAGTTAGTTTTAGCATCAAAATAGCAATTAACTGGAATTGTTCAGAAATTATTCATGTAAAATTTTTTCTGTAACAGTAACTGAAACTTTCGTACAAAACAAAGCCTAGTAGATTTTGACTTTTTGACCATGACAGCTCTGAGAACAGAGTTTCTGAGAACAGAGATAGTAGGAACTGCAGATGCTGAAAGAATCTGAGATAACAAGGTGTAGAGCTGGATGAACACAGCAGGCCAAGCAGCATCAGAGGAGCAGGAAGGCTGGCATTTCGG